CCCCACCCCCTTTGCCTAAGATCAACTGTTTTTACATAAAGTAAAATAAATGCCTTGTATTATGAATTTTCATCAGTATTTCTGATATAAATGCTTATACCAAAAATGTTACCCAGGATCCTTCTAACTCCGCCCCCTTTTTCTCTTCCCCGTCAAAAAAGCTATTTGAATTATTTGCCTGCAAGGAAATGTGAGAATTAAATGTTTTATACATTTATTTAAGAAGAAATACTCCTGCCTCCTATTTATTCCTTCCTAGCCTTCATCGTTTAATTTTTGTTATTATTGTAATATTCTTGCTATCATAGGGTTTATTCAACCATGTGTATTAAAGACATTAATGATAGGAAAGCAGGCAATATCATCTGTGGTCAGTGAGCAGTTGGCAGTAAGCAGCTGGCAGTAAACAGTGAGCAGTTGGCAATAAGCAGCTGGCAGTAAGCAGTTGGCTGTCGTATTTGGAATTCCATACCTGGTGACTTAATTTTTTTTATTAAACCTGTAAGACATATGTTTAATTTTCAGAACGTCAGTAACTTTTTCTCAAAATTCGTTTTCGTTTCTCCTCTATTAACTGTAAAATCAATATGTTCTCTGCCTCTATTTTTTGTTGTTGTTTTGTTTTGTTTTGTTTTGTTTTTGTTTTTTTTTTTTTGTTTCTGCAATTAAGAAATCTTCTTGCTTATTTATTTTCTTTCTTTTTATATGAGGAATATCAGGAAGACTTAAAGAAATATACCGTTATTTATATCTTCTATAAACACATTATTCTTTTCATATTGGACTCTATTGTTTTTTTAACCTGCAAATATTTGTCTTGTCTTAAACTTCAGAGTTATTTTTCTAAACGCCTTTTCCTTTCCTAAAGGTGTTAAATTTTTATCAAGAATTACCGATGAGTTGTCTGCGCTGTATCCTTGTTTAATCGCTAAATTTTCAACCAAATTACACATATTTTTAGAAATTAAAATATAATATAATCGACCTTGTTTGAATGGATTTTTCTTTCGCCACGTAAACATTTATTTTTAGATATAGAATCCTGAAGAAGTCAGTATTTGTAAATCATTCATTATCTCTAAAGTTTTTCCTTGCCTAAGGGTTATTGATGCTAAAATAATTTTCTGTATCTATTGGAGGGTCAAGAACCGGATTAAATTCACCGCCTAGTATAAGATAATCATTGTCCAGTTCTAAAAATGTCGATCTTTCCTACTCGTAAAACTCTGAACTATCAGTGTTTGGTCCATAGACATTAATTAAAGTAAGTTTATTATCCTCAATTCTCATACCGAAAGCAGTAAATATTGATATTGCAGGTAAAAAGTGACTTTGTCAATGATACAAAGAACATCGAGTTTACAGTCTCAAAGAGCACAATAAAATGGATTTAATGCAAATTTTTACCTGTAAATTCAATCTTAAACATTTCATGAAAGGTAATTTATATGGTTGAAACTCAAAGGCTGCAACCAAAATCTGATATAAAAATTCCGTGCGACAAGGGAAATTTGAGTTAATTATGCAATATCATCTAGCCCTTTGCTTAAGCATTTTTTTTTTATTATGATTGCTTTAAACCAGATGATTGAAATGATATTATGACGAACGCAAGACTTTAACTTCTATTTATAAATCAATCAAGTGTTGATAATAATTTTCACCAGAAATAAATGTCAAAACCATTATTTTATGCATAAAAATTCCCCGAGGTAATTGTAATTTTACTTTTTATTTTATCTATTTCCTTTATTTTATGTATGTTAGGGGGAATGAATTCTTGATTAGTGAGTATGATGTCAATCAGTTGTAATCTCTATAAACAGATAAAGAGCGTTCGACTAGAAATACGAGTAGGTATTTCTAATCCCCAAGGCAACTTTATTTTTTAAAAAAAATCACTTAAAACGTTGTCGTATACTAGATAGAACATAAAATCTCGAGTATGAAATACTAAATTAATATTTCATCAGGAGGGAAATTAAAGTGATATAGCTTGTATTTTTGCAATAATTTGTGTTAAATGTACAAAAAAAAATCAGCTTGCTTAATAGAAGTTGTTTTTTTTTTTTATTATTTTCAGCGTATGTGTCGAGATATTTGCATATTTAGAAAACTTTATCTAACTAGAGTGTTCCAAAGAACTCTTGTTTGCCTGCTTTATAGCATCATTAAAGATGCAAATTAATCTAACAGTGGTCAGATGTTTATTTGCTACTATCATTACACTTCATGCATTTGCCTGCAAAGAGAAAAACATACATTGAGAATAAAGACTGCGGTAAAATAAAAAATATGATTCCTTAGTCCTTAAAGATAAAATGAATAATGAAATTCATATTATTAAAAATAATTATTTATCATTTTATTATGTGTTAAATTCAAAAATCCTCCAAAGGAGACTCTACTTTGTTTTTCCTGCAAATTTCAGTATACATCCATCCATTTTGGTATATCGATCCCGATGAATTTTCATAGTATTTAAATTTCAGTTTGTGTGGCAACTGTATACGAAACAGTTTCAATGTACAGTGTAATGAGCTTTGTTATAAATACTATTCATCAAAAATCTGCTTCTCAAAATTCAAAACACGTCAGTTAAATCAACCGTCCAGAGTAGTCAAAGGTCAAGTGAACTGTGAAGCTGATATTTTTCATAATATTTTATGACAAACTGTGCACATGCTAAATCGCATAGACTTACCTCTTAAAAATATGCTGTATATCGGCACTATGAACTACATGTATTTTGAAAAGTAGATCAAGTTCAAGGGTCACGGGGTCAGTAGCCATGTTATTTTACAAAAGCCATAGTGCCAAGCAATATATCTAATCCATACCTCTTACAGTTTTCAAGATACAAGGTGTGACAGACGGGCAGACGCCGGGTAAAACGATCCCTAAGTGTTGCACTGCTTTGCAGGCGACACAATAAAAAGTATTATTTTCGTTGTTTTTTTTTTTAAAAAATCCATGCCACAAAGTTTAGACGAATGCTAGTAGCTAAACTTGGTGGGGACCACCTTTTGTGACGTGTGGAATCGGTATACAACAAATATATAATATAGCTTTTTTTTCAAAAAGCTTTGCCGTTTGTATCAACAACATATTATATTAAAAAGTAAACCGACATACATTTATCAGGCCGTACCATGAGTACTGTTTTCAACGTTTTTAAAGAAGTGAGCCTTAAAACATAAGACAGTGCAAAACAAAGAAGAAAGAGTAAACATAAATTTAAATGTTTGCATGCAGTTTGTTAATCGTGAAAATATAGAAACATTTTGTTATAGTTTCTATAGAAATTAAAAGAGTCGGTTTTATTAATACTAATTTTCTTTTGTTTGTTTTGTCGATTTTTTCATTTTCATTTGAAAAATTGTTTAGTTGTACAGAAATTAGATGACCAGAAAGTACCTCTCTTGTCTTTAACTGCAATACAACCAATGAAATAATTGAAATTATGATGAAATCGTCATTGCCTAACAATCGCAAAAGAGGAAAGGATGTAAATACTCCAACTCTGTTTACTGTCTTCCAAGTAAGACGGTAAAAGAGATGGTTGTCTAGCATTTTAAATTATTTTTTTAAATTATTATTAGTGGTTTATATAATATTTGTTTTAGAATTAAAAACCCAAGTCGAAATTTTATGATAAGGGCAAAGCATTATAGTAAATGTTGATTCTAATATGGACAAATTACATGGCATTGCAAGGTTTATGCAATATGCTAATTTTGATCTGTCCCTTTTAAGTTTGTATTTTTTGTTTATTAGAAAAATTCAAAAGTTTGTGTTCATAGTGTCAAGTTTTCTTCTTTGATTTGATATTTGCAATGTTCAAGCTATAGCCTGGCGTAATATTACATCACGAAACTTTGCGATAGTAGAACAACTAATTCCAGCAAATTCCTAAATGTAATTAAGTATTATCTTAAATTATGCAACATTGTTACCAGTATCATTTTGTAGCAGATTCGTTTTAGCTACAAGTGCTCCTCCATTACAAATTCTATTAAAAGTATTGGGATGTAAATGTGTTCATGAAAATGCAATTGATAAAGCAGGCTAGATAAGAACGAGGTATTCTAAGTCCAGTTGTCATTTGAATCTAAGTGCTGAAAAATAGAGAGTGTGAAAGTGAATGTCTTTTGAGTACACAAAGAATTCGACTATCAAGGGATAAAAATATTACGGAAATCTCATAGACAATTCCCGGAGGAAACAAGGGAAATCGATATTTGGAATTATTATTTGATACAATTACAAGGCTTAGAAAAAGAGGGGGAACTAGACAAAAATATAGCACTATATACAAACGAAAATCTTGCTAATTTGATTGAAATACTGAAAACTAATATAACATATTTATGTCGAAGATCAAACGCAGAAACAGGTGTTTAAGTTTATATAAAAAGATATACTAGTATATCTTTCTTTCATTCAGATATTTGTAAATGTATACCATGGATTCTTTTATGGAGAGAATTTTTAACCCATCATCATTATTTGAATAAATACATGTATTGTCTTAACCTAAAAAAAAGTATGGCGTTTTAAGATGAAAAATGCTAAGGTTTTTTTTAACAATATCCCCGGTAGTATAGATTTTTAAGCATTTAAGGATATCAGCCCCGAGATCTTAACCAGAACCAAGAGGACATGTCAATATAAGAAATTTACAAGAGGTCAAACTGCTCATATCTTGACAACTAGAAGTCAAGTAACAAATAAAAGATACACGTAGTTGAATTTTGAATTAACTTTAGCTTTCACTGATTTTCAGATTCACATTCAGATTAAAAAAACGTTTTCACAATTATTCCTCTGCTCAGATGTGATATAATAAATTCAGAGAAAAAGGGAAAATCACTTTTTATTTTAATTGAATGAATTAATAAGAGAAATAGTGAGATACTTCACTTGACATTTATGCATTGTTGAACTTCAGAGGAGGGAACAGGGGAACTGCTTGTATCTTTCTGTCCTTTCTGTTTTAGGTGGCTGGCCGTTTGATGACCTTGGCTGTCAGCTGTACGGATTTGTCGATCTCGTGGTCTATTCTGGTTCTACGTGGATTTTGTGTATCGCTGCAATGGAAAGGTACAGGGTTGTTTCTCAAATACATAGTGTAAACTATGAAAAAATAGTGATTTCATTTGATATGGTGTTAACACAGAATTATGATGGACTGCTGCTCGACACCAAAAATAATTATGATTAATAGAGATTGTTCTTTCTGACGTATCCGTATACGTATCGAGGTATGAGAGGCATCTCGATCCCGATGATTTAACCGTGGGTACCATTTCCATCGTTTCTTGTTTGATTTTAACCTCATTCATTGGAAAATAAGATATACTCGTATAGTAATATTTCTAATAAAACGTATCAAGTTGCTGTTCACACCTATCATTTTATGGAAGGATTTAAAAAAAATAAAATTAGTAAAAAAGTATGTATATTTTTATTAAATTGTTTAAAAATTAAAAAGAGGTTAAAAAGGGACTCCCCCTTCTCTCTCTCTCTCTCTCTCTCTCTCTCTCTCTCTCTCATACACACACACACACACAATATCAGGATATATTATTGTTTCATTCTCGAAGTAACCTTTAGCAGTACAAGACATATTCCACATAATGCATACACTCAACGCTCGTTATCTCTTGCAACTTGGTTGGACCAATTAAAACTTCGATATGCAAGGATTTGAGTTAACAAAGTTTAACTGTTTGAGGTGTCAGAGATCAAACATTCTAGATGAGTATAAGTTTGTATACATCAAGCAGACACTTGAAATTGATTAACAAAGTGGAGAAGGGGGAAGCTGGGCCGAGGCAGGGAGAAACCAAAAAATGACAAGTCACCTTAGCAAAACTTTGACAATAAAAATGTGTAGAAATTAATCAAACTCTTAAAAAACCTATTACTGGGTATGTATGTTTGGGGGGGGGGGGGGGTATGGATATTAAGTTTTGAGTTCCTCTTTTCCACAAAAATAATTACGGATACATTAACTGTGAAAGATTAATTTGACCATACTGCATACTCTGTGTGAATGTTTGTGTGTGTGTGTGTGGGGGGGGGGGGGCACTGAAAATTTCCATCCTCATTTTCTTTTTTATCATTATTAACATTCTGTATATCATTTGATTATATATGATGGACATAGTTCTCCAGAAAAGCTTTGGAAAGCTGGCAATTGGGATGGTCTGAAGACTCTAAATTCCCTAGGTGATAGCCTTATCAGAAATTCCAGAGAGCTTGAGAAAGGACTACCATTTTCGAAAGTGATACAATTACACGCATTTTTATCGCGGATGAATAAACAATTGTCGATAAAAGGAGAGATAAACGGAGAAAATTTTTTATTTATGTCTTATACATTACTTTATATACATGTTGCCTAAAGTTTACTTAATGATTTATTTATTGAAATTTAGACTACTGTAATTCTTTGTGTACAAGCGGGATCAAAACTCTTTAAAAATGCTGATATTTTATCAATTAAATGTTTTGTATAAATTTTATCCTTTATTCTGTGTTTGTTTATTTCTCTGCTACGTTGAAGCAGCCTCTTCTCTTCAATTTTATAAACTGCTTGTTGAATTTACTCACACTTGTCCCGATCTGGGCCAAAATGCATAAATAAAATTAAAAAATAAATAAAAACCAGCTAGATGGACAAGGTACCATAGAATAGATAGATAAATCTATTGTTTTGGAATTTTTTAGCCTAATGTTCTTTTCTTTCTTATAAAAAGAGAGTTAGGATAATGAATACCATATTATGAAACAGTTTCTATATCAAACCATGAATTATATATAATACGCATGTACGACAACAAGACAACTAAAAGGAAAAATCAAATTTAACAATTGCATTTTCATTTCATTACCTATTTTTTGTCGTCATGAAGTCTTTTCAAGTTAATACTGCTGAAAGGACAAAATATAAAGCAAAATCAAGCCGTATGAGAATAGGCACGAAAGTAACAATTTCAACTGGGGAGGGGAAGGGAAGACATACAGGTATTTGTCAAATAGTTCATTGAAAAAAGAATGAAGAAAGTCAACAGACGCTATGAAAATGTGTGTGTGTTCCGGGGGGGGGGGGAACTGGCATATTTAAGCATATACTGGTAAGGGTCTGGAAGCAAATTCTCTTTAGAAAACGGCTACAAGGTTTTATTCGTTGTGTGGATATCAACGTCTTTTGCATTTTAGTGTGTGTGTGTGAGCGGGGGGGGGGGGGGTAACTTTTATGTCATCTAATGTTAATTACAGAATCAATCAATAAAATGTCCTGATGTTAAGAGGGAGAGAGGGGGATCCCGATAAATGTTTTTAAACACAATTGCAATCAAAGTTTTAAACAATATAATGAAAACAAATACAAATTTATTTAATTTCATTATCTATTTTTTAAAATTTTTCCAGCGAAATGAAAGTCCTTTAAAGCAGGTTAATACATTTTTTATTAGAAAAAATACCATATGCTATTACTGGGGTTTCTTTAAAACCAAACAAATAACGATGGAAATTATAGTAAATAGTTTAGACATCGGGATCGAGATGCCTCTCTCACCTCGATACGTATGCGGATACGGATACTTGTACGGATACGTCAGAAAGAACAATCTCTAATAGTATATACAGAAGTCAAAGAAGATTAGAGAATTTATCCGATCTTAATTTTATGGTTTTTCACCATATTTTGCGTGCTACCTAGAAAAAATGTTAACTTGCCTGCAATGATTCTTAGATATCATATGCACCACTGGATTGCATAATACATGTAATTGTTCAATCGACAGATAGGACGTTGCACTTTGTGAATTATGAAACCGATTGTAAATAAAATAAAACTGCTGAAAATGGGTCATTTGGATAAATGACAAAGTTTTAAAAAGTGCAAATTTCAAGAACTTAACAAACGTGTATCGAATATTTTCGCACAAAGTTTAAAGAAATGTTAACGCAAAGAAAACCTGCATTGTATTATTGAGATAAATGTACTTCAAAACTTGCTGTATAATGACTCTTTACTGTAGAGTCCAAGAACAGCAACATGTTCTCTGAAATTAAAATCACTAATGATCTTTAAATGCCAGTTATATTTAACAACAATACTTTTGCTTAAGAGCACTCATCTCCAGAGAGAACACACAGCTAGATATAGAAGGAGGGTAATTAAATTTTGAAGAGAAGCCAATTTAGCTTGTTACTTTTAATTTAATAGCAAATGTATTGTTTCTGCCTCGTTTTTATTATCGTTTTTATTATCTTTTTTACCACAGGTACTTTAAATTTATGCTTCAAGTTGATCATCCGTCAACTTTCTCAGTAAAGAATGTGAATATGATCGTCGTGGGAATCTTCATCCTAATCATTCTAATAGCTACCGGACCACTTTATGGTCTCGGAGAATATTCCTACTATAGAGGTAAATATTATATTCTTAAACGCAAAATTAAAGAGAGAGAGAGAGAGTAATTACAAAATATCGTATGTCAGAGCTTTGTACGATGTTCAAATCAATATTCGCACGGTCTTGACATAGATGTCAAATACAAACTTTTATGGAATCAGAATTATTGATCCATCTCTAGCACCTTTTACAGGCCATTAGATCTTAATTTGAAGGGTTTTTAGTATATAATAAAAATTATAAGTTCATAGGAAAATATATAATTTAACAACAAGGGAATAATATATTTTTATTTAAGAATTTGTTAAAGGACAAAATATTGTTTATAAAAGTGTTTACTAAATAAGATAACGAAAAGTGATCATTCTCTTAAATCATAAACAATAAAAATTTAAAAAAAAAAAAAAAAAAAAGGGCAGAAGTACGAACTCCTGAAAAAAACAGAGGTGGGACTTCTTTTTTTTATCGTCCTTTCGATAATTTTTTACTCATATTGAGACGCCACCACTTGACGGAGAGGGCTGCAAATTTAGACCTGTACTAACGGCTTTTGAGCACTGAGGGATCTTTTTCATGCAGCACCTACTGCGACATGGGACTTCGGTTTATACGGTCTCATCCGAATGACCGGTTGCCTTGTCACACAGTGGATTCGAACCCGCGACATAAGCATCAACTCTTAACTCCACGACTCTAGAGCAAACGCTCTAACCCACTGCGCCACGCTGGTGACTGAGTTCTCCGTATTGATCAGGTAAAGGAAGTGATCTTTTCAGTCAAAGTTTAAAAGATAGGTTATATTTACAAACAAGGTCTTTATATAGCGAAATGATAACTTTAAACAAGAGAATAGAAATCTCTCTAATGTTACCTTATATGTCAAGCCTACCTCAGTTTAAAAAAATGATCGTACTAAAACCATTCTTTTGTGTACTGAATCAGTTTGGAGACATAAACATATGCAGGTGATAATCGAATGTTACTACCTTAGTAAGTAGAGGAATTTTGACGATGGAGAAGTTAAAGTAATCCCGTCTGTCATTTAGGTTAGTCATAATTATAAGAACATCCAAACAAGAAGCAGATGTGACAAACTGTTTGATGTATTTTAGTTCGAGTTCACTAAAATATATCGAGTCGACATATAAATGAAAATAACTATTGTTAATTGATAAAACGACGTCTTAATACATATGTGACCGTGTAGATTTGGACGGTACTTAGGAATTCGTCTGGAACAGCATCCGTTGTTAGCAGAACGAACGGGGTGAGGGAACGTTGGCGTAGGGGGGTACGAGGTATAGGTAGAGGCGCTGTGTGGCCGTGAGGTAAAAACAAAGTATAGGTGTGCCGTATTCCCGAAGGTCCACCGATATGCAATTCCAGAGATAAAGCAAATGATGAAGGATTCCGTATTTATTAGATGAGTCTCAACGATGGCAACAGTTTACATGAATCAACAAACAGACATATTATAAATGATCGAGTCGGATCTGACCGAAGTGGCCCCGGACTCAGAGTCCTGACGAGTCGGACGTGGCCGAGACTGGCCTTCGTGTATTCCAGACTAAAGATTGAAATTATACATGACTATTTATAAGAATGTACATAATGAGTAAATAGATGACAGGTGTTGACATCAAGTGAAATGAGTGAAAGATTCACGGGTATGGAGTAATTAAGTATACATAATGACTCTTTGATGTTTGGAAATGAAAAACAGATAATAACACAATGTTGTTATAAGAGATTAGCAGTTCTTGAGACATAGCACTCTGTCTCTTTGTTATAACAGATCAAAAGTCCAAAAAGTGTCAATGGTCAATTAAACAATTGGATTCGAAAAATATTGTAAGAGAAATCAAATATAACAAAAATTAGAAATTGAAAATTAAAGTCCAAAATAAAGGGGTTTTTTTTCTGAAACAGTGAATTTTCCAGTGTGATACATATATAAATATAGAATGAAGGACCAAAGCAAAAGTTTTCATCTCATGTAGGAGTTGTTGAATAAATTCTGCTTTATGATAACATAAAAACAGGTCGGTTAATAAAGGAGCACATTTAGTGTCTATCGAAATTCCAACAGATTTTTTTTATTTATTTATTTATTTATTTCGTTTAATAGGGAGCACAAGACTGTTTCAAAGACTTTAAACTACTTTTGATCAAAATGAGATGCATGATATGTAAATTGGTCCATGAACAAATATATGATAATTTCAATAGTTAGCGTTCCTGGCAGAAAGACGGACATTGTAAACATATAGGGTTTAGAATGGACATTTTATCTGAACATTTTAAACTTGGACTATATTCATAACATAATTATTTTAGTTATTAATAGTGACAGTAAAATAAAAGTAAAGTTTGTTAAACGGGGATTTACATTGTTTGTGTACCACATGCAGTGATTTTATAATTGGAAAGAGGCTTTAACAGCATGAACTATAATTATATTGTTAGATCAAATTGGATGTTGTTATTGATACAATGAACTATAATTTTGTAAACTCATTTGTAATGGAATCAATCAGAATAGACCATGCAATCAAGCCCGTCGATACTAAGTAATAAAATTTGAACGGAAATGTATAGTTACTATTAAGATTCTTGACTAAGAGTAATAAATTTGGGAACTTCGAAGTAAATAAGTAAAAGAGCTCAGGGCTATAGAACTCCTGTGATGCAGAGATGGGGACTGAGTCCATAAATATTATTAATGAAGATATACCTGGATTGGAGGGTGATGCCATGTTGGGGTTCATAGGTCAACGGACCGACCTACGGACTAAGCATAGGTGGCATGACAAAGGTAAGTCAGCCAACGAAAAGTACTTTTATATCGGGGACCATGAATACCCTCTGAGCACAAAATACCCTGTTTTGCCGGAAAACGGCATTCTATTCTTCTTTCTTTCGATCATTCATTAGGCATCTATTGACTCTCTTTTGGAGTACTCTTTGGATTACAATTTTGATTCTAATTTTTTGGACCTCACCTTAATTATTACTTTTGGAGTTTTAGTTCTACGCTCTTCTTAAATATTTGGGACGGATCTTAAAAACTTTTGCTATAACCAGTTTATTGGTCTATTCTGATGAGATTTCAGAAACTAGCATTTAAAAATATATACGATCAATTTTTAATAAACTTTTGAACAAGATACAAACAATCTCTTCATTATTGGCTTACAACATCCTTCTTTGAAAAAGACATTTTAAACTGGCAAGATATACAGACTTGGGATCTACAACTAGAATAATCGTTTTACATGTACAGAACAAATCTGTTCAATGTCTTGTTTTTATTATCAACCAAAAAAAAAAAAAAAACATTTATAAAAATTAAGTTTACTCCTACCCTGGTTTACTTTTTTTAAGCATAGGCTTACAAAAGGAGCTAAGAGACAAAAAAAATTCATTCAACTATTTAGTAATTTTTACCAATATTAATAGCCTTTTGGAGACATAAATACAAAAATCCATTTTTCCTTCGTAATGGAGTTACACTAACATAGCATGACAAGATCGGTATTTGGGATTATTTGCTTTTTTTAATTCATCTCATATTAGGAATTATCGAGCTCTCTAACGAATTGCTCTTTTCCCGTTGTTTCTGAGGATGATTGTCTAACTCTCTATGAAATCTGAGGAGTGAACTCATTTTCCCCTCCAGACCGAAACAGTTCTGTTAATGAATCACGATACCCTATATATCCAAAAGCAGTGTGAATTCTCACGTCTCTTTGATTAATTTCTATTAATGAATCCTGAATAATGATGCCTTCTGTATCGTATAACATCACCAGTACGAGTACAACATGATCAAAGTTATAATAATAATGTAAATGTTCACATATATATGAGTAGTATGATTCTGTAAATCAGTTATAATGTATTTTGTATTGTATTACATCATTTATCTTAAATATACTTGGAAAAAAAAACCAGAACTATCATTATACTCCAATGTTTGCAATTTGATTTCCTGCAAAATGTGATCTGAGATGTGCTATGATATAGGAAAAGAAAAGATACTTTTTATATTTGGGAATTTCAGATTTTTTCATTGATTACTCAATCACTATAAACCCCCTCAAAGAGGAAAATCAAGTATACTTATAAGCAACAAATGGATATAATGTTTATCATGAAAAGAAAATCTCGGAGACATTGTGTGTGAGTGGGTGGGTGGGTGTGTAAACTAAAAAAAATGAGGAAATTTGGTGAAACTTGAAATGAAATTGAAATGTACCACATGTTTATTTATCTTTCTTAAATTGCAAATCACTTGTATTTTATCGCCCATTTGTAACATCCAGAAGAGATACATGCATCAAATCGTAATGCATCAAAACAAATAGATGTCGAAGAAAATCCAAGCTTCAATGATATGCATAGTACTTTCTACTTTTATCAAAAATGTCCTTTTTTAGCCAAGTTCCTCCTGAAATATCAGAGAAAGCATCGAAGGTCTCTTGTAAGTTTCCGTAGGGAAAAAAAATAATGGAGTCAATGACATCATATAATAGAATCCTAGCCTAAAATCCGATAACCGTGTGACAACTATGTTAGAAAATAATATGGGATAATGACTAAATCAGATGAATAAAAATATTAATAAGTGTCTAATACCCTTAAAATAAATCCGAAATACAAACTGAACATGAAACACGAAGGAAATATAATCTTAAGTAATTCTCATTGCTTCATTACTTGTACATTTTCATTACCTATACGTGATAGGTAAAAAATACTTTAAGCTGTGCTTAATATAATGCTGGTGAAGAGGTAAGACGACATTGCATCGAATAAAGATAAAAATTACAATGATATAGACATACACGTAATGTAAAACGTGAAGATAATGGACAGTGATCAATCTCATAAACCCAGTAAAGAAAACAAAATCGTGTACAGGACAATGACACCAGAGGTTGGATCAGGTGCCTAAGAGGAGTAAGCATCCTCTATCGATCGTTCACACCCGCCGTGAGCCCTCTGTATAGATCAGATGATTAAACGGATATAAAATACAATGACTTAACAATTGCTGGGAAACGTGTCAGTTAAAATACGATCCAATGATAGGTTATATTTACAAACAAGGTCCTTATAAAGACACTGGAATGAAACATAGCTTATATTTCGTACGGAAAATAATTGTAACAATTGTACTTCTACTTCTTTAGTAAATTAATACTTTTTTTTAAATTCCCAAGATTTGTATATTTAATACATTTAGTGTTCAAAATTATTTCTATTTTAGAAATTGTAACTGTGGATGCAATTAAAATTTTATTTGCGAAATCTTCAAGTTAATGTTCCAAAGAATGCTTAAAATACGACACCTTTGTGTGTATTTTACATTGAGGCTTTTAAGGGAAAATAACAGCTGGCGGCTGTGATGTTATATATCTTACTGCACTGTGTATTGCATTAAGAACCAAAACCACATTTTACTTCATGATTACTTATTTATTCCAAGGAACATTTTCTGTAATAAATGCAACTTCCACTCGATTATTACATTTTTAAGGGTTTTTTTTTTTTCATGTTTATAATCAGCTTTACGAAATCTTCCCAAAACGTTCATTCTTAAAAGTCATAATCAAATAAAACATATAAAATTTCTGTTACCATATTTTAAAATTGAACAACAGGCCCATGGGCAAAAACACTCACCTGAGTAACTTTGTCCGTGATGTTCTTTATCAGTATCAGATTGTTTTTAAATTTCCCTCTTTCATTAGATAAAAATTTTGACTCCATGCTGTGACCAAATCTAGCCCTAAAGGAGCTATGCTTCGTAAATCAAAGTAGAATCCACACAACATTGGGATGCTTCAATTTCAAAATAATCAACATGGCCCTGCTGCTCTGGAGAAGATTTTTTCCTGTACACATGCATTATGTAAAATATGGATCTCTGAGATTTCATGATTTGAACAAACTTGAATCTGCACTACGTTATGAAGCTTCATCTTTTAGAAGAAGATTTTAATTAATTGATGCCACCCTTCATTTGAACAAGTTTGAACCCCTTTATCTCAAGGATGCTTTATGGCAAGTTTGGTTGAAATTAGCGCTGTGGTGTTTGAGACTGTAGAAAATGTTAAAATTTTGCAGAAGGGCTGACAGACAGACGGACAGACGAACAGTTAGACAGACGCCGGACAAAATGTGATTTTAAAAAGGCTCAGGAGAGCTAAAAACCTATAATACCATTAATTGATTGCATGTTTGCCTGTTCGTCTTTTTGTCTTTTGCAATATACTGTATGTGTACATAAATTGACGTATTCAAAATTTAGCTCAATTACTGGGTATTGAGTGGTTGGCGTAATTATGAATAAGCGCTAAACTCGTCCGCGCCGTATAATGTATTTATCAATAAATTATTAACGGTATTCATGAATTAACGCATTATTGTCCGCGCCAAAGCCGCTAAAATATGAAGCCCGCTTTTTTAAGTACACATACAGTAAAAGTTATATAAAATTTTAACGAAGTATGCACTTGTAATAGAATATATATATCTGTTAAAAATGAGAAAAATTGGTTAGTTTCTTCAATTGTTATGTCATTATTTACACACTGATTTGTCGACAGAGTTTTTCGTTATTTACCGATCATGACAAGGTGCACACGGTCGGCAGGGGATGCTCACACCTCCATGGCACCTTATCCCACCTCTGTTTTTGGAGGTCCGTGTTTGCTCTGCTCCCGATTTGTATTATTTTTAATGGACTTTGAGCTTGAATACTGTTCGTTATCTCCATATTTCATGTATAATATTTTAAAAAGATGATCCCCATTAGTTTTATTTACTATATGTCTGAACTGATGCTAAAGCAAGGGACATAAGCGTTTCTTGTAACACGCTAGAGCTGATTTACCATGCCTCTCATCCATACAGTAATACTATTCTTACCAAATTTTTAAGAAGATATACAATGCATTTTTGTTCCTATTACTTTGGTGTTCTGTATTCTCCGTAAGCTTTCAGAACACCCTCCTTACTTTCTGTCGCCTGTTTTTAATATCCTTGTCTCCACTCCTTCTTTGTCCGATATAGCATCATGTATATTTTCTACTTGCTTGTTATTTACTATGATTTCATCTTTATTCCTGGTGTAATCCGTTCTCAACGTTTTACTTTTCTTTGCATTTAACGAGACCCATTCTCTCGACTAGATTTGGAATCATATTTATTTAAAAAGCACTTTAATTTCGTAGGTTGAAAAGTAGCTCTATTCATATTTCATTAGACATATTACAGCCTTTTCCAGAAAGCATACTATATGAGAACGTGAAATTTATAAGCAAAATGTCCGTTGTCAGTACATGTTAAGTTGATATGGTCCAGTGTCACTTGTCTTAACGTGTAAGTCTGTCTATGAAATGGTGCGAAAATGATCAGATTTATTTATTCTTAAGGTACATAATATCGGGAGAGGGGGTGGTCCCCAACTTAAACTTATACCGTTTATGTAATCAGTATGAAAGTATTCTTTGAAAGGTCTGTTGCCCCAACCCCCGCTTTTTGTTTCAGTAGAGTCAATTCTCTCGTCCAAAAAGTTGGAAATTAAGCTACCCCCTAAATAAGATTTTCTTCTTTCTATGTAGTTTGTCAAAGAAATTTCAGGTTAATTACCAATTACTGTCCTAGCCCCCTCCCCCTCTTTCAAAAGCGATGCTATATGCATGAAGAGATAAAAGATTTAAGCAAATAGCATGATGATTGTAGTAATAATTTAAAATTTTGTTGGTTGTCTGAAAGCTACGGAAGCCGGTTGGTGCCAGGTAGAAAAAATATTTTATCTGGCGGCCGCCAAATAATTATCTGGCGACCGCCACATAAATAACTAGCGGCCGCCAGAAAATTATTTGGCGACCGCCAGATAACTGAGTTTCTGGCGGCCGCCAGTTATTTATGTGGCGACCGCCAGAAAATGTTTTTCTACCTGGCACCTATACCGGCTTCCGTAGAAAGCAGCTCAAAGTTCAACAATTTGAAAGTTAAAAAAATGCAATAAAGTAATTTCAATTCCAATTCTACTGGGTACGTTCATGCATGTATTTTGGTGTCCATATCAGCAGTACCAAAAAATAATAATAATCATAATAGACATACTGAATAGTATATGCGTTTTATTTTACTATTCGTAAAATGTAAAGAGAATTTTATGAGTTATAAAGTGAAATATTGTTAGCTATACACGATGCCAAAGTCTGTTGGTTGGCTGCTTGTTTGCTTCATGTTCCTTGAATACTACCGACTGCCTATTAACATGATTGAGGGATGCTTTAGATCTGTACTCGGCACTTGTGGAAATAGAACAGAAAAAGATTTATTTCATACTAACATCTGACTTCTACGATACGGGACTTATACCGGTCTTGACGTCCGCGTTGAAATTCGAACAAGCGACGTAAGGATCAATTCCCTTGCTTCTCCACACTAGAGTGAAATGCCTTTATCACTGCATGCGCTTCGTGCTGCTAAGTGTCCACCCTTAATAATAGTATAACTTTGAAGCTCAGTAAATCTTAAATTCCTTTGTCAAATCGTCCATCCATTGATATATTCAATTATTTTTGTTTTATAATGAGATTGGTTCTTTGAATTTAATTTTAATATATTAAGGTTTTCTCATAGAAACAATTATAGAAGAATCAGTGCCATGTTATCGATGAAACATGCTTTTAATTTTTCTATTAATAGCACTTGTTCGAAACCCACGGCGCCGTTGGAGGGCCAGATAAAAAAATATTTATTTGTTCGGACGAATAAGATATTTGTTCGGACAAATTAGATATTCACTGGGACAAAATAGATATTTGTTCGGACAAATTAGAAATTGGTTCAGACAAATTACATACCCCGGTATTCGTTCGGCGAAATGATACATGTATGACTGGTTTTCCTTTCCAACATCTTTTCCCTCTATTTTCAGGTATAATTGATAAAAAGAATGCATTAAATAGTAGTTTACCGATGTTGTATTATGTACAATTCTGACAACGGACCGATGACAACGGACTGAATTTTCGTAACTTGTCATGACAACGGACATAATTTTAATTTTAGCAAAAACTTTCAGTGTTACTTTGCTTTGATTTTTATTTCAGGTGCTAACAATACGTCATAGTACCTGTACCAAGTGTTGGGTATTTCTTATTGTATAAAAGAAAAATATATTCATTTCAAAGAAAATTTAAACAAATCAAAATATGTTTCGAGCAGGGTGGTGTATCGCCAACGCAAACTACTGTAATATAACCTGTTAATATCTGACGTTATTGATGCACCAACAAATATTTTGTCAGTTCTGTTCCCCATTGCAATTTGAGGGATTGTAATCAATTAACTCACTTGGAAAATGAAATTAAACTACTTATTAGTTCTCTAAAGTTATGACACCGGAAGGATATCATCATAACCTCACCTGTGAGGTCATGGTAAGAACCAATTTTAGTGCTTAACTTTAAAGGTCTCTGACAACGGTATTGTAAAGGAACAACGTGTTCCTGGCCGTGAATAATTGATTTCTGCTTTCCCTACAGATTGTTTTTCTTAATATACTTTGTGAATTGAAAAGTCATATTGTGGAACTTATCCGAGATCAAAAGTAGCTTTATAATATATGTGGACGTGTTTCTTCTAGTTAATGAATAGAAAAGTCAACTTGTAGAACCTTACTGAGATCAGAAGTAGTTCTACATTATACATATATGAGGATTCTTCCTAATTTGTGTTTCATATTTGCAGGTCACCTGAAGCTTTCTTTGTCTTATTATCCTCTAGGAGAAAATGGAACAACAAATCACCTTCTGTTTCCTAGTTGGTACTCATACTTACTAAAAAACGAAATTGATAAAAGGACCTTGCCAAATCCTACGTACTTATTTCGGAAAACATTTGAGGAAAATTTACGCATCAAGGTAGTCCAACTGAGACAGACGGAAGTAGGATTCGACATGTTTTTTCGTTGTCCCTCTTTGCCTATTGCTGAAGAGCTATGGTATAATCATACAACTGGATCCCTTGGTGAAGTCTTCAAATCTATAGTGTGGCATCCAGAGCTTTCTCAAACCCTCAATGTTAAAGATGTAATAATAAATACCACCATTGATGAGCAGGAATATGAGGATTATATGAACGTGTTTCTGATCTCTCAGGGTATGAATGAATTCTATATACTCCTGCCATAAAACATTATTATCTCTAGAGAACGATTAAGCTTGATTTCAAATATGTTGAACAGTTATACTTTTCTAAGCTTACTATTACAATGATCTAGAAAACAGGGTTGGTATATTATTTGTTTTGGCGATTACTAATTCCAGAGCTGGTACTTATTTCCGTGGTATTTCTTGCCTTCTAAAGATTATAGATACTACTTTATTTGATATAAATGAAACCTTTGGCGGTAATAAGTATAGACAAAAGTGTATATGAAGAGCAATACTGTAAACCAACTTTTATTCGCGTGCAATAAATATTTGCGAGTTTCGCAACCTATTTTAACTCGCGAATATTAATCGCTGCGAACCATTTATTTTGCTTTCTATTTGTATAGAATAATTCCTCAGTCGCGAAAATTAATCGTCGCGGATTGATTTCAAACTGACGAATCGCGAATAAAAGATGACGCGAATAATAGTTGGTTTACACTACAGTATGTATTCTTAATAAAGTAAATAATTTATATGTATTTGAGTTGATTGTCTTGTCAATTACTGTGATTTTGAATGATGTGTTTTGTAGATTTGGGAATGTGTGGCACGGACTGGACATCTAAGAACGTTCATGCTCTGGTATGGTCCGTGTATCAAACCATTATAACAACAGCTGCTCCCTTCATACTAGAAGCCATTCTATACATAATCATATCATGTAAAAATCCGTGTAGTGTTGCAGTTACGGATAAACACATTCGTGAACATGACATCAGGGCACTTCGATTCTTTCAAAGTTCATCTGTCATATATTTCCTTCTGACGTCATCCTATTTCACGATAACGATTATCAATTTGAATGGTGTATATATACCCTCAATTGTTATTTTCTTGACCTCACTTTTGTATTTTACCTCATCTGTTTCAATTCTGATTGGATGTTTTGTTGTTGAATGTGAACCATTCAGTCGTTTTAACAATGCTATACAGAATTGTTGGAAAGTTTGTAGGGGAAAATTTTCAAGAGAATGTGCTGAAATTTCAATAAAAACATCAACGTTGTATAAAATGAAACAAAGAACATTTCGAGAACCCAAAACATATGTTTGACGTTTTGTTAGTACAAAAAATACCGTTTCTGTAATATACATTTATATTGTCAAAGGGAAGATTGTATATACACATGTACAACTGTACTATTCAAAATGTTTGACGTTTTGTTAGTACAAAAAATCACGTTTCTGTAATGTACATTTATATTGTCAAAGGGAAGATTGTATATACACATGTACAACTGTACTATTCATGTTCTTAATGAGTAATGCGTACATATACACGTTATAATTTTATTCATGTTATGTATCAATATGAGGTTAATTTTTTTTTCTTTGTATTAATTATTATACAAACTACATGTAGTTCAAGTTGTATGTTGAAGACCAGGAGCTGAGTATATACCGATAAAGCTATATAGACTCCAAAGACTAATCTAACTACCGTCCAAATCTAAACATAATCATGAATCTTGCATTGGGTTAAAGAAAGTCACTACACATCCTTTGACCCGATACAATAATGATGTGGAATGTTACCTTTGTCAGTAGATTACCAGGTATTTATCAAAAAGTGAAACTGAAACTGATGCTAAAAATATTAACTTTTATTTAAAAAAGACGTTTCATTATTCCATTGCCCAATGAATTTAACCTTTCACCTATGACCTTACTATTATGACATATCATCTGGTCATCAGCAACAACATACTTAAACATGCTTAAATTTGAATTCATTCCAGTCATGGGTTTTAATCCAGGTATATGCGACATATTTCATTGCCCAGAAACCTTAACTTTTGACATTTTTAGGCCACGGACAACAACATACTAAATCTTATGACCATTCCAGTCAAAGGTCTGCGAGTAAGGGTTCACTTCGTTGATTAATTATGAAATATTAAAATTCTGAATTTCGATTTTTCAAGGGTTTTCGAGAGTTTCGATTTTTTATGATTTTTTTCATCCAGCATCAATTTTTACTTTTCATTTCCCTCCAAGTTTTTACGTCTCTTGCGAGATTTTTTTCACTAATATGAGACGTCACCAAATAACGGTGAAGGGCTTAAAATTTAGATCTTTACTCGGCACTCTGGGCCGTTGAGCAGTGAGATGGGGTTCTTTATTGTGTAAACGTTTATCTTGACACGGAATTTACGGTTTTAAGGCCATATCCGAAAGACCCGTGACTTCACTTCTAATGCCGGTCGCTTTGGGAAGGAACAATCGCTATCAATGTTATACGTCTTGGGTTTGCATGGCGCCGGGAACGAGAATCGAACCCTGGAAATCACTATCACAAAGCGATCTTCCTAACATTAGAATACCGCGACAGGTAAAACTGCAACGGCAATAGAAAATTAAGGGAAGGAGACAGAGCGTCCCTGGGACCCTGAGTTCATAAAACTCTGTCCGTTCAGATATGCCGAATAGGCTTATCACATGATACACCCTGTGTATACATAAAAAAAAACCCAGGCTCTATTGATTCAGTTGCAGATGGAGTTACAGTGTAAGCCGCAGTGTGAGAAGACAGCAGGAGAATAGTTGTAAGTCTGTTCGTCAGTCAATATTGCTTTGCGATTTGCTGAACAGTACTTACCTTTGCAACTTTGTTTACGTGAGCGTTGCATTAGCAGGCAGTCTGTGTGAATCAAGAAACAAGAGTCACTTCAGGTAGAAGTGATGTGCCAGTGTTTTTGTTGCTTCTGTGGGCGCTTAAATTCGGGAAGTCTCTACAGGACGACAGTGTTAGAAGCCCTATTGATTAGGGTACAGTTGATTCAGATCATTTCATTATCTTGTGTGCTAGAGAAGCACCCAGTATTTGTATAAATTACATTTGTAAATAAGTTTATACTCAGCAATCAAAAACCTCAGCAAGCTATCTGAGGGGAGCCTTAGACCCAAAGAAAATTGTATTACGTGTTGAAGCAGACACGTTACAGAAATTGGCGCCAGTGTAGGGACTGATTTGGTTGCTTGATTTAATTAAAAATAAAAAGTAAATTTTGCTATTTTCTTTTTGCATTTACCTTTGCTAGAACTCTTTTCTGGTGATTAAAACGTATCGAGCTTAGATGAAGAAATAGCCAGGATACAAGCCGAAATCACATGGTTACGAAGGACGGCGCTTGAGAATTCAGGCAAAGCCGCGGGCAACTATCATCAGACAACGTCGACTTCGGCAAGTTTATGAACTACAGCAGCAGTCCGTAAAAGCGACTCTGGAAAAAATAGAAGACGTGAACCAAGCTTCGGCTAGGTTTCAGAGCAGAGTGCCACAGAGTGGAATTCTTAGTGAGACATCAAGGATTGTAGATCTTAAACGTGCGTCCATTTCAAGTAGTGATACGCCTATAACTGCCATGGAGAACGAACCAGGTATAATAGTCGGACGACAGCGCTTTCCTGAAACAACTTAGGCTAACGTGGTAAAGCCAAAGGAGGGGGATGCTTTTCAGAAGCCATCTACTTACATTAAACAAGCTACATGTGTCTAGACTGGATCACTTGGGGGCATGTTCATCATTGAATAGCAGTCTCGTTGTGGGGACAAGCACAGGGGATGTTTTGAAATCTAAGTGAAGAACATGGAAGAGACTACGATGAACTGATCAAGGCGCTTGAGGATCACTTTGCTCCCACGAACAGGACAGAACTATATAGAGTTCAATTAGAAAACGTAGACAGAAAGCGACCGAGATGCTTCCAGAATTAGGACAGTCATCCAAATACTAATACACCTTGCCTACCCTACAGCACCAAACAATGTTCTTGAGAGACTCTCTCTAAAGAACAGTTTATAGCAAACGGCGGGTGCGACCGGTCGGCAGAGGATGCTCACTCCTCCATGGCACCCGATCCCACCTCTGATGTTTTGGAGGTCCGTGTTTGCTCTGCTCCTATTTTGTATTGTTCGATGGACTTTTGAGCTTGAATACTGTTCGTTATCTCCATATATTTCACTAATGCAGACATGCGTCTAAGAATGAAATATGGAGATAACGAACAGTATCCAAGCTCAAAAGTCCATCGAACAATACAAAATAGGAGCAGAGCAAACACGGATTTCTAAAACATCAGAGGTTTGATCAGGTGCCATGGAGGAGTGAGCTTCCCCTGCCGATCAGTCATGATCGGGAAATAACGGAAAAATCCATAGACATTTCAGTGTATAATAATGGCCTAACAATTAGTATGAAAAACTTCAGTCATCCTTTGACTTAATGATAGATTGCTTTGAAGAACTCAAAGTAAGCAAAACACGGATCTCTAAAACATCAGAGATGGGGTCAGGTGTCATGGAGGGTGTCAGTGTGTAAATAACGGCCCAACAATTAATATGAAAAGTCAATCAGCATTTGCCTTAATGATAGACTGTATTTGCTGACGTCATTGTATCGACCATAGAACTTATGAAATGATGACTTTAAACGAGACTGTTGATATCCTTGTCTCATCAACTTGTTTGTCAATAACTTACCTTGTTTTAGAAATTGTTCATATGTAGAGCATTCTCTTGCGTATCGAATCAACTGAGAGATATAAACCCCGTATGCAGGCGATAATGGTATATTGCTGCACAAGTAATATAAATTACGAAATTTATTACTGCATGGTTGCAATAATAGATCCTTTTACTTTTTAATTGCATATTACATGTACATCCATAAATCAAGATAAAAATAAATTAGAAAAAAAACGCACACATTTATCTAAGTTCTGAGATTTCATAGTATTTGTTGCTGTAAAGTATAAATGATTTTCTGTTTTCCAAGCATTTCCATAGTGTTGTTAAGAATTAAATAATTACAGGTTTTTCTTTTTTTAATTTCAATGAATATCTGATATACTTATCAATCTATAACAGTATTTTAATAAACTTCGTGTAGTGGGATCAGGAACTCATTATCATGTTTAAGGGAGTCGGAGAAACAAAACAAGCATAAAAGCCCCCCCCCCCCCTCCTTTCACAGTCCTATTCGCATCTTAAAAAGGAGATGCTTTGCATGAAAATATATTGACGATAGAAAAGCTAAAGTCATCCCGTTTGTCATACTGTTTAGTGATTAGTTGGCCATTATCGTCTATAATCAGTAAAACATCCAAATATGAAACAGATGTGACAGACTCTGTAGTGTCTAAGTTCGAGTTCACTGGGATATATCGCGTCAACATATGAATGGGAGTAACTATTGTTAATTGATAAAACGTCTTCTATATTTCTAAATACTTGAGTTGAAGGCCACCGTAAGATTTTATTTTTCTCATTAGAAAGATTTTTTAATAAATTCTGTTTTAAAGGAATATTAGAACAGCTAGGTCGGTTAATCAAGAAGCACATTTAGTGCCCAACGAATTTCCGTCAGATTGTTGGAAGACCCGGTCTCCAAAGATTACATAGATTTTGTTAATGAGGAACTCCAGCATCTTTTTAATATCATCTCCAGGGTACCTGTATGTGGAATTGCAATGATTTTTTAACAAAGTAATTTTGTAGATGACCAATCACAAGATATAAAAAATTTCTGTGCTCCATGTCTATTGAGGAAGCAGATGTCTTTGGTGTCAAAAAGTCTGTTCTTTATTGTGAAGAAGGGTTGTATAAAGCGTAGAAAAGGCATATGTATTGATGCTATTGATGTTCGAAAAGTTTTGAGATTTAAATTTTACAAAAGTTCTTTGGAGTTTTTTTTAGAATTCACATTTGATTTAAACCACTTCTTGAATATTTTGCAGCACAATACGTCTGAAGTTTCTCCTTCACAGCAGTTAATATTTTTGTGAGGAGTAAGGATAAGGGCTTGGTTGAACATTTACTGAGTTTTTAAAGATTTTTATGAAGTTTTGGAATCCAGTATAGATAGGGTAAATCAAACTCAATTTCATTGACTGGAATGTTAAACATATGTTAAGCTGAATTTTAGATGATTTTGAAGAATGTCATCCTTTGAAAGGGAACTGTAAGTAAAGGTTGGATTACAAGATGTGGAGTTAAAATCAAGTTTTTCTATATACTGTTGATAATAATTAGCTAACAACGACTAAATTGTCATGTTACAAGCTTTGTCAGCTTGAACCAAGAAATATTTTTAATGTAATTCTTTTATCATTTCCGTTCTACTGAAAACGGAAGGATAGATAGTTTGCATTTTGCCCTTTAGTTTTCAAATGCGATTCTTTAGTGTATATCTAACATTCTGAGTGTCAAGGTCTTCCCCTTCATATTTAGCCCATCTTCTAGCATACTAGTCTACGAAATCCATATTAGAAATGAAGTTCTGTCGCCATTTGAAAGATCTGGGATCCTTAAATTTAAAAACTTTT